TAGAAAGCCTTGCCTAGTCCTAGACGTCCTTGAAACCTTTTGGACACCTTTTGATATGAAATCTAGGTGGGCACTTTAATGTGTGCAAAATTTTGCGCACATTTCAACCGAGGGGGTGCTGTTTTCGAACAACGTTGTACAAAGCCGAAAAAAAAGCAACAAAAAAGATTAATCAATCGTCATAAAAAAAATTAAAAACATTTAAAAGAAATCAAATGAAATCAACCATTGTCTAGCATTGTACAATTCCCGCACAAGACAGCACCCCCTCAGTTTGAACTAAGACATGGATTTACGAGAGAAAATAAAACGCTTGTCTTACCAATGCTGGATTGAAACCGCTCTAGGACTGCACGCAGCAGTGTCGCCAGCATTCAAAATGCACTTGAAACTGCCAGCACTTGCATTTCGGCACTTGCCTCACGCCTCCACCGTAACGAGTTCCACACCTGCGTTCGTCGCGGACCCCCCGCCCGGCCCGGGCGCCCGGTCCGTTTCACCCCGCCGTGGAGACACGCGGCAGGGTCACGAGTAGTTGTAGCGGGCGCGGGGCTGGCCGGGCCCGCTCTTGTCGTTCGGAAGGAGAGGGTGTCAGGCTGTCGGGGCCCCGTACGGCGAACAAGAGCGCTCGCGCCCAGCTCGGGCCCAGCCAGGGCCGCCTGTCCACAGAACACGATAGGCGCGCGCGATTCGTGAACGATGTCTTAGCAGCGGATTAGATTACTCAACACGGCTTTAAATGGCGGGCCAGGCAGCGGCCTGATCCATCACAACGGGCGTGGCGGGGCGTGGCGGGGCGTGGTGGGACGGGCGTTCCCCGGCAGTGAGTGTCGCCGGGGCGCACCGGAACCGGTGGAGGAGACCTCAACGCCAGCGCTGGTGTACAGATCTCGACGAGCTGGATGTGTCTCTCCTTAGCACGCCAAAAAAAGCAAGAACTTGAATCAAGTGCATTTTCTGAAAACACCTGCATGCACTCAATTTAACTGACAATAACATCCACTAGTTCGAAGAAAATGCACTTGTTTCAAGTTCTTGCTTTTTCGGGTGAGGGTTGGCCACTTTCGTCATACCCTCGATCGAGACACTCTCGGACGCCCATGTGTGTCTCTTCTCCTCGGTCCTGCTTCTTTAAGAATCGCGCGCCCGTCTTGCGAGAGGTGTGCGCGGAAGTTTCCAGGATGACGCGGCTCGACGCCAACCCTTCCTCGGCGGTGTGCAGAGAGCCCGCGGCCGACACGGTGTCGCAAGCCGCCCCAGCG